CCAGTTTTATTAAGTAAGGACTTGTGTCGCTAAAATTTCGTCGGAACGAAGTTACAGAAAATCAATTAACACACGGAGACGTAACAGAGGCAATGTTTGGGCTGTGGAGAATGAAATACATGATGCAAGATGAAGAGAAGAATTGAAGCCCCAATAGAATACTGTTATGTCTCCGTTCGTTAATTTTCCGTAAATTTGTTCCGACGAAACTTTAGCGACACAAGTTCTTTCTTAAATAAAACTGGTTTATTCTTTCTGAATACAACTTTCCGATGCACTTAATTTCAACAGTCGCGCTATAACAAACGCACCACGAACGTCTCACCCGCTCGACTTCAACAATACTCAGTCCAATTGCACATTCTCTAACTGCAGTTCAATTACTCATTGTTCCGTCACGTTGTGATCGTCTTATATACCAGACTACCGCCAATCTAGTAGTCTCCCGATAATTCACGAAGGTTCGAGAAGGACGTGGCGTGATACTAGTCACGTGACCTCGTTCACGCAACAATACAAAGGAATGAATATTGTCCAAAAAGTAGGAAAAGTTAGAACAGTTTGAGAGTTTATGTCCTAGAGAGAAAATAATGATCATGTTTGTAAACTCAATAAATAAGACTGACCTGTTCAAGAAAAGAAGTAAACTAATGCAAAATTCAGGACATTTAGCTGAACAAAAATTATTTATATCTTCAACCGAACAGTTCAAGTTCTATAGGCTACATTTGTTGATAGGCCTAACTCATCAATAAAACTAAATAGTCACTTGCAAGCTTTCTATTCGTAAACTGTAGTGATGAACTGGCTGTAGGTAAACTCACTGAATGACTACACTCACATACGGCATCGAAACTCTTCCTAGCGTAACTGTTATTCATCACTAGTCGAGACACTCATGAAATTTCTAGACGTCATATTCAAACTCTACGCCTCAAGAAAATATACATGGCCTTTACGTGCATTCATGTTACACCGCTTTAGCCACAACAAATATAAAAACCTAAATTAAAATATTATCTAGCTCACAACTAAACAAACTTGCACTATGTGTCCCAGGGCTCCTAAAATTGAACACTCCTAAATTCAGTTCGAGGGACCGTAAATCACATTGTTTGTTTTGTATTTTCCTGATCAGCGAACTGAAATTTTAAAGCACTTTTAGCAAATCGCTACTAGCCCATTAGGATGGGTAAACATGTTTCCGATATCCCAGAAAATAAGGAATCTCATCAGATTATCTTATTGGATATGCGAAACATCATATTATGATATATAATGAGTGAATGTATACATTTTAATTATTTGATTATTTGATTTTACCAATAAAAAAAGGGTTAGGCTGCAGCGTCCTGATGACATTTATAAAATGATTATTTCAGTTTATGCATAGCAAGTATGAGGAAAACATTCATGGTGTTCCTCCTGTTTTTTGGCCTAAACTTTAATGTTACATTGATCTGTATCAGTGTGAAAATAGTTTGAAACGTTTATATATTTGTTACTTGAAACTGTCGGTAGTTGGTGAAACTCCATAATTACAGAATTGAGGAAAACAAGACAACTGCACGTTTCACAAATAAATCATTTATTCACGACCATGGTCGTGATTAAATGATGTACTTGTGAAACGTGCAGTTGTCTTGTTTTCCCCAGTCCTATTTCTGTATTTGTTTATTTAATAATTTTATGTTAACTGTCATTCACTTTTGTTCATGTGTTGTATGAAAAATGTAGGTATCTAAGTCTAATAAACAGAATAACATGCAAACTTTTCAGGGTTTTTGAAGAAATATCGGTCTATTGTGCAGCTTTTACAGATCTCATTCCGCTTTCATTTGTTTTGGCTTTCTATGTCTCTCAAGTTGTAGCAAGATGGTGGGCTCAGTATGAAGCAATTCCTTGGCCTGATAGGTAAACTGTTTTCTCAATATTACATTTGTTTTAGTTTTCTTAAAAATTAAAAAGAGTAACGAATCATGCTAATAACTACAGTAATAGAATCTGTTTTATAATACTACAAGCATAATATGTTTCATTAAGAATGATTTAAGGAACTGCAATTTAAACAGCAAGGCAAGAAAAGTCGTGAATTAACAGCACAGAAAGAGAAGCTGAATTCTTGGCACCAATACAAAGACGAAGTATTTTAATCTAGATCATAAATACCTGATACATTATGTAGATGCTGAATGTTATCAATCAAGTATAATGCAAAATGCAACAAGCAGTTTACTGCAAAAATTGCTTTGTTCTTTTAGTTATAATCTTTGCGAATATTCAGGCATTTAATATTAAAAGAAGAGGTATCTGATTTCAATTTGCCCTAGTTATTGTTATAAAACTGATTGCATTAACGATTATGTAACGTTTCTGCATTAATTGTAATAGTCCCTCTTCATTGTTTTAAGTAAAGGTTAATCTATTATTGAAACCATGTATTCCAGAACAGCACTTATGATAGCCAGTTTTGTCCATGGTGCTGATGAACGAAGTCGGATGATCAGAAGGACTTTAGGCCGGTACTTAATATTAATGCAAGTGATTACCTTTCAAGCTGTAAGTACAGCCATCAAAAAACGTTTCCCAACTGAAGATCACTTATTAGAAGCAGGTAAGTAACAGCTAAAAGTGATAAAATATTTATTATAGAAATCATGTAAATTTAGGATTTGATGTTTAAGATTGTATTGGTCATAATTCCATATGTAGTGGACCACAAATACCACTAAATTTTTGCTTACCTTTCACCCCCATTTTCAATAACTTCCATGTGTATCTAAAACCATCTAATGGGGGGGGGGGGGAAGAGGAGGAATATAACCTAATAAGTATTCAGCTGATTTCAACCGGCTCAATGTAGTAAATGTTTAAACTTGTAATATTTACCTATTTACCAAGTATTTAAATTGTAAATTATGAGAAAAGTATTACTTATTTTACTAAACTTGAAATGATGTGATAGACCAAATAAATACACTTTAAGGAATAATTACCTAGTTATAGAAGTGTTAGTAGCCATAAAAGTAAAACTCTACTGATCTCTTTCAGATATCCAAGAATATCTGTGGTATATACAGTTAAAACTGACTCCAACTTCGAGCTACTGAATAAGTTTATTGTGATCAATATCTTGATAAAATTTTCAGTAAAATGAAATATAGTTGTAAAATGAAATATAATATGAGCAATCAATATTTTCACAATAAAACACAAGTACAATGTATGTACTTTCTTTTAAATCACATGGGACGATCACTTGTACTAGATCCTCGACATTCAATTGTTCATGTTGAAACCATGTACCAGACTGTTTAAATCCAACATTCCTCAGTTTGCAAGAAACATCTCCTTTATCTATAGTGACTAGTCTTTCTCACCACAACATAGGTGAAACAATAACCTTTAGACATCACCTTAATGACCATTAAAGGACACCACTGTCAACAACCTTGCACAATGTGTACTATTGTAGAAATATTCCACCTAGGCAGAGCAGGTATTAATCACTCAAGAACATGGGAATAGATAGTTAGTATGATATCAACAGCTTTCTTGACCATCTGTTGCATGAATCTTGCATAGAGAAAAACTTTTCAAAAAGGAAGTAAATGTAAGGATGGCTAATATCCCTACATAATACCTCAGGCACGCAGTATAGTAGAATGTTAACAGACAAAAATAGGATAAATTAAATTCAATTGTGATTGAATAGTTGTATA